CCCCTCCCCTCCTCTCCACTCCTTTCCTCATCTTTTTCTCCCTTCTCTTGTCTCTCTGCCTCCTATCACAGAATGGCACAACAAGAAGATCCTGGAAAGATGCTGGTACTTTTATCTTGAATCTTCCAGCCTCTATAACTATGAGAAATAAATTGATTTCCTTTGTAAGTTATCAAGCCTTCTGGACTTTCTACTGTAGCAGTGCCAACAGACTAAATCAGTGGTTATGGTGCAGTAGGGTTATTGAGGGGCAAAAGCATCTGAAGTCTTTCTTCTCTGGTCACTGAAGTGGTGAAAGTCAAGCTTTGTGGCTCAGGGTAGTTATGGTGAACCTAGCAGGTGTGGCATGGCTTTAAAGCTAAGGATTATAGCACTGGTCCCATATCTTTAAGAGCAAATTAACTGATGTGTTCCTAAAGCCAAGCTTTCCAGTGGTGATCTCATAGTCTAAGTGACAGTGAGGGAAGCAGGTTGGCCTCTGAAATCTGACTGGCACTCCCAACTAGGTCTCACTGTCCCTGGGGACTGGCCTGGCCCTGGGAGCCAGACTATGGTCTTCCGTTTTACATAAGCAAGTTCCTAAAATGACAGACTGGCCAGGGTTTTCCTGTTGCCCATAACCGATGAACTCATAAGCAAGAGCACTCTGCGTCATGTCTGATCACAGGTGAGAGTCTGAACACCGTCCAGACCACAAAAATGACCAAACATCCCTTCTTGCTAATCTGAGAGAGTTCTGGTTCATTGCCAGTTAGAACCACAGCCTCCCCCTTGTCTAGGTAAGCTTTACCTAGATACCTGGTTATAGGCTCACCTCCCTGGCAGCATCCAACCCAGACCAAGCCCCATTTCCTTCACCTCTCCCCACATCGCTGACTGCAAGCCTCTGTCCTTCTGAAGCTCCTCTTTCTTAGAGGGTTCCTCGGGGCTCCCCATGATTTGTGATTTCTTTCCCTGAGAAAAATAAGGGCTTGCAGCTCATTCGGATAGCTCCTTGGCTGAAAGACAGTAAAACTCAGTGCCTGGATTGAAAACCTTGGACCTTTTAAATGTCAAATGTTATTTACAGTGGTTACATCCTATGACTAACAATTTTGTACACAATTATTTATTATATGTGCTACTTCATAAAAGTAGATGTGACATTAGACCTGTTATGTCACCCAAAACAACAATTAAGTGTATTAAAAAGGAGGAAGGAAGGAAGGAAGGAAGGAAGGAAGGAAGGAAGGAAGGAAGGAAGGAAAGGAAGGAAGGACAATAATAAATGAAGGGGAAATTATAAGCACACAGGGCATTAAAAGTTAGAGATAACCAATCATAGTAAATTGGGTAAGAACACAATTTCTTAAATGTTCACAATATGCCAGGCACTTGTAATAGTGATTTATATACAACACTGACAACCAGCTAACTAAACTACAAAGTAGGTATTTTAATTACTACTCTGTAGATGAGAAAATGACGCTTCTAACACCTACATTCAGCCTAGATTGGCAGAGGCTTCTCACAGGATAATTCTGCTTCCAGACTCAAGTGGCTGAAGACATTCTGTTTACACAAGAGAAGTAAACACTGGATATTTCTGAGGGAAAACAAAATGCCAGGCTAGAGAGATTCCTCAGCAGTTAAAGGGCTTTCTATGCACGCAAGAGGAGCAGACCTCATATCATCAGCCCCATGTGGGTGCAAAATGAGTATGGCAATCCACCTGGAATTCTAGCCCTGGACAGTCTAGACAAGGGGTACCCAGATTGCCACCCCCTCCCTTTATCCTGCCTCCCAGAAACCTTGCTAGCAAGATTAGCTATTTGGTGAGATCTGGGTTTGATTAAGAGACCCTGCCTCGATGAATAAGGTAGCAGAGGTTTGAAGAAGATTCCTGACATCAACCTAGGGCCTCTGTGTATGCATAAACACACACACACACACCTGTGTTTTCATTTACTCACATACACATACGCACATATCCTACAGATGTACATATGAAAAATATCCCATTTTTTTCTGAGTACAAGGTCTTTCACCATAGTATTGTCAGATTAATAAACGGTATATATTAACAATGCTTAATGAGATGGATTATGAAGAAGTATTTGAGAAACTCTTGACTGGAGATATTCCTTATTTAAAGCTGGAAGACTTATCACACGGGTACTGGGTTGTTTTGTTTTATACTCTGTCCTGGGAAATATGTGAAATCAGCAAAATGAGATTATAAACCAGTTACATGAAAATCTATGAGTATCTTTTCTAAAAGGTAACTTTCATATTAAATAGGACAGATAATGTCCTGTCTGCTATTTTAGTAGTAAACAGAGGAAAGAGTTTTCCTGGATGGAAGAAGTGCCTTCTACTGTCTACAGTGTGAGTGTGCAGCGAACGGACGTATTACTCACAGACATGCTGCTTTAGAAGAGGGGTTTTTTGTCTGCCTGTTTGCTGTTTTTGTTTTTGGGTTTTGTGTGGGGTTTTTTTTTGTCTGTTTTGTTGTTGTTTTGGTTTTGGTTTTGCTTAGACAAGAAAAAGTAAATTGTCAAGCCCGACAGTGGTTCCACATGCCTTTAATCCCACGAAGTAGGAGGCAGAGGCAGGCAGATCTCTGAGTTCGAGGCCTACAGAGTGAGTTCCAGGACAGCCATGGCTACACAGAGAAACCCTGAGGAATAAAAGATAATAATAATAAAATAAGAAAAAGAAAAATCAGATTGTCAAAATTATCAACACGGGTACAGGTTTTTAATAGTAGCAGACTTAAAATGGTCCCATTTCTAATAAAGGAAAGAAGTAAAGGAGATTTCCTGGACAAGGAAAATATAATAGATGCTTGACATATTTAAATTTAGTTTTACAGCCTCACCTGTTCAAGGGAAGACAGGAAACTTAGGTGAGGAAATAAAAATGACTTTCAAGTTTCCTAACTTTTACTTATTTACTTAATTTTACTTGTCCATATTCTTTGAAATAGTTTGTGAAAGAAGAGACTGGAGCCATGCCCTCCTCTAGGGGAAAGGGAAGGACCTGGATCTGCCAGATCATTTCCTGGAAAGATTGAGTCCAACAAGCTGAACAAGAAATGGTGTTGGGCTGCTCAGTGTTCATATTTGACCATTGCCTATTTTTTTTTCCTTGTGGAAAAAGCTCAGAAAGGAGCGTGTTTAACCCTTGACTTATCTTTGTTATTCTGTGACAACTTTGGTTCAAGGGGCCTGCCAGTGACTAGGGGCGAATAGATCAGTGGGTCTCAACAAGTGCATCGCAACCCCTCTGAGGGTCAAACAACCCTTACACAGGAGTCGCCTTAGACCATCGGAAAACACAGATATTTACATTAGGATTCATAACAGTAGCAAACATACAGTTATGAAGTAACAACAGAAGTAATCTTGTGGCTGTCGGTCACCACAACGTGAAGAACTGTATTAAACAGCGGTAGCATTAGGAAGGTCCAGAACCGCTTCCTTAGAGGGAGGGGAAAATGGGAAGATGTAAGGAAATGTGGTGTGTTACTCTGGTTGTATAAGTCTCAAACATCTGAATTCTATGAATTAGGCTACGGTGGCGGGGGTATTGGTGGTGGGATCAACAAAAGGGGATAAACAATTAAGTGGCCAGGAAAGCAGGAATGGAGACAGAATTCAGCAGAATAAGTATCTGGAACAGTCAGCATCTTTGAAATTGTTCTGTTGAATGAACGAAGCAACTGGAGGGATATTGGACCCTCTCCAACTTTCTCTTCTTATACATTCCAATTGTTTTCCTCTGGGAAAATATGGCCACTGACTGTCAATAAGGTTTGCACCAGCTAACTTCTGCTGCTAATGGACGAAACTAGCCAAGCACTCTCTGATCCAGGTAGAAAAACCCTATGGGCATACTAAGCCTGCCAAGATTGGGGCCTCTGTCTCCAGGCTGGTTAACTGTGGGTCAGTGTGGCAACTTCATGTAGGAACACCTGAGTTGACAGACTATGGCGGGTGTGGGGCCAGGGGTGGGAGTCAGGGATTCTAGTTCGCCTAGGGCTATGTCATCAGCCTGCAGAGAGGGATGTTGTTAAGTCCAAGACTCAGTGTCAGTAGACTGGCTTCCTTTGAGGTCTCCCTCTTTGGCTTCTTGGCTTTAACACAATTTTGTCTCTGTGTATCTTAGTGTCTTCCTATAAGAGCACAAGTCAGATTGGATTAGCGTCTAAATCTAGCGATCATTTTCACTTAATTACTCCTTAAGGACCCTTAATCCCCAAATCACATTTTTTGAGGTACTAGGGGGTTAGGATTTCAACTTGTGAACGTGGATTACGTAAATTTAACTCACCAGTCTCCGATGAGAGTATTATTGAATATGTCCACTACGCCATGTTTTCAATGTTTTCTGACTTGGACATCTGAAAAGAGGTGGCTACATTTTAGAGAATTGTCACTGTGGTTTGCCCAGACGGTCTTGTTTCCCCGTTCTTCCTGACTTTCCTAAGATTTATTTGCTAATGTACAGCACAATGAGGACAAGTGTGTAGGAACTGTGCAGCTTCATTTTGCGTTATTTCTACATTTCCCATTTGCAGGTTGCCTGACTGTGTTCTATGAGTCTTCATGTACCATATACATAATTTTTATAGACTAAAGGGCAATATTAATGGTATGGTGGATAGATAAGCTCATAATTCATCTACTCTATTACATGAGTGGGGGACATTTTTGAGGGAAAGCAGAAGCAGCTTAGATGCTAATAATAAATGTGTTTTTGCAATGCGTCACTTCAAATCATTTTGGGAAAGAAGCAGTGTCTACAGACAGTGTATAAATGGGGAAAAACAAGATTCGTCACAAAGTATTTTTAAAGCCAACAGTAGCTAGAAAAAAAATCAATGCCCAAATTAGCACAAACTGGTTTAAAAAATAAGCATGTCTAAATTGATTTTTCCATATATTTGCCTTAGGCAGACAAAGTATGGGAGGAAGTGGACCACTGCCAGACCTAAAGCATTTCTCTGAGCTCCATCAACTTCTATTAATGGGCAATGACGCCATCTTGGCTCCCAGCCAGGCCCCGGTACACTTAGACTAGCTGGGTGGAAGCAGGCATTGCATCAAAAACAATGCAGAACTTCAAGGAGTGTTGAGAAATGGGCCTGGAGAGCTGGCTTATCATGACAATGAAGAACTCATGGCACCCATCAGGTGACCTTTTTGTCGGGGTGAACTGACCAACACTAAGGATGAGCAAAGTCCACTGAGCTGCCAAGTCACCGAGCCTTGGCATTATGGGCAGCCAGGGTGGAAATTAACCCCACACCCTGGAAGCCATTAGTTTTGTCTCATTCAGTCAGAGCAGCAGACTCACAAATGCATTTAACAAAGATGTATTGGCCTTTTTCTGAATTCTCTACTTTACAGATTGTCCCAAATTACACTCAGTAATTTGTCCTAGCATTGATTCCAAAATGGCATTCTAAAGAGAATCTAGAGAGTGCCCCCAAGAGTATGCTAGGGTGGCAATAATCTGCTCTCAAGCTGCTGTGGACAGATGCTATGACATCCTCTCCTCCAAGTTAGAGCAAAGGAGACAGGGTGGGTGAGGGGAAATAGGGAGGGTGGGCATAACATGAAAATTTGATCTGATAAAGGCTTTCAGAGTGGAAAAGCTTACAAAGGCAGTGACTGAAATGGAGCGTTTTATTGCTAAGCCCATAAGGACTTTAAAACGCAGCGTGAAATACAGCCCCAGTTGGCCAATGAAACAGGAAAATATAGGAAAATATGGTGTAGTGTGGACTCAGTTAAACTTTAATATCAGTATTGATTCTTTCACTGTCGCAAACACTATATTTAACGTTAATGGTCAGGGGATTAAAGGTGAAGCAGAGAGAAACTTTCGGGACATCTAAAATTCTGCATTATTTTTCCAAGAAATCTTTGCATCTGTAGCTGTTCCAAAATAAGAGGGTTACTCTGCATGTATGTTCTAATAAATAAAGCAGCTTTGAAATAATCAGAGAAGCAAAGAGAAATATTTTTAGGGGGTAGTGGTTGAAGAAAAAAAATTTGGCTAAGACTTAATAATTTGTCTAATAGATACATGGATGGAGGCAATATGCTGTCTCTTCTACTTTCATACTGGTTTACAAGTCTCCACACTGAGTCTTTTCTTTTTTTAATGCCTTAAGCTGTGTTCTCCAAACAGGTACATAGCTTTGAACAAATGTTTTTCTCCATATAGTATTAAAGCAGGTGGCATTAGTTCTGAGTTGGATCTGGGTAGAAGTTCTTAAGTCTGCCATGCCACTAAACTGGAAACGAACAGTTCCCCATCCCTTGCCTGCCACTAGAACAATACCAAAATAATGGCAGCTATTAGTCATTGAGCACACAGAATCCTTCTCTAGGCGTCTCCCCACTAAGCTACTCTTCCTCCTGCTTCCTTTTTAATTAAGAAGCACTGAGCATTCACTTAGGACCCCGAAGAAACATGGGTGCCACTCATCCCTGGCACGTCCTTTACCATTCATCCTTGGCATCCCCTCTCGCTTGTCTCCTACACTCAAGTCAGTCACCAGTTCTGTTGATTTTGCTTGGCTTCTGTCTTTGTCTCTCTGACCTTCGATCTTGTTGAAGGTTCAGACTTCTATTTCCTAACAGCAGGACATTTATCCTTAGGTTACCCTTATTTAAACCGTGCAGTACATGTTGACGCAGCCACAAGACGGGTGTATAAATCTGTTCATAGTATGGTAACAAGCAGGAGCCAGCTCGCTCAAGATTCGTCTTCTAATCACCTCCCAGAAGTCCTTCTCTTCGGACCACCATCACATGGGTTAAGTTTCAATAGAGAAATTTTAGAGGGATGGCAGCATTCAAATCACAGTAATGAGGAATGTGGCCATCTCATTTACATGACATTCTTGTTTGGGTTTCCCAACCATTCTCAGTATTATCCTACAACCTCCAAGATGAAGTCTTAGCCTCCAGGCTCAAAATACAAAGTCATGTCCCATACTTCAACTGCTTCTTGTTTCCAGTAAGCACTGGGATATATATCTTTCATCCTGGATTGTTCTGGTCCTCCTCATCCTCTAAATCAGTGCTCCTCAACCAACTTAATGCTGTGACCCTTTAATACAATTCCTCATGTTGTGGTGAACGCCAACCAGAAAATTATTTCATCGCTACCTCACAACTGTGATTTTGCTACTATTACAAATCACAATGTAAATATATGATATACAGAATGTCTGATATATAGGACCCCCAAAGGAATCAAAACCCACAGACTGAGACTAAATATATACCTGCCTAACTCTCCACAGGGTCCAAGCATCGCCTCTTAAACATAACCACTCAGATCAGGAGGTTAATGTGGAGGTCTCTGGCTCACTCTCCATTCATAGGGTTCAGCATGCTGAGAACAAATGCCCTCTAATTTATGAAAAGGCACTGAATGTGCTGGCCGCAACATTCCTCCACAGACAGAAGCTAACACTTCCTCCTCTGCATCCTCACTATACCTCATGTGCAAGGCAGCCACTGATGGAACGACCTTTAGGTGAAAGAAGGGGAGGGTGAGACTTGAATCCCCAGGCCATTAAGAGCTATACTATCCCTGCTGCACCAGGTTTCCACATCACCAGCTTCAATTTCAGTAGTCCTTCTCCATACCCCCTCCCTCTATCCCTCACTCTACCTGATTTCTTATGCTCCCATTCCCACCAGCCCCCCAGCTACCCCAAAAATATGTTCTATCCCCCTTTCTGATAGAGATTCATGAGTCCCCCTTAGAACCTTCAGTACTTACCCTTTCGGGGTCTTAGAGACGGAAGCAGCAAACATGGCGCCTGAATGGGTCTGCCCCAGGTCCCGTGCACACACGTTAAGGTTGTTAGCATGGTGATTTTGTGAGATTTCTTACCATGGGAATGGGGGTGCCTCTGACTCTTCCACCTCCTCTTGGGACCCTTTTCCTCCTACTTGGTTGCATTGCCCAGCCTTGATATGAGGGTTTGTTCCTAGTCTTACTGTATCTTATCTCATGTTCAGTTGATATCCCTGGGAGGCCTGCTCTTTTCTGAAGGGAAACAGGAGGAGTGGATCTGGGGGAGAAGGCAGAGAGGGAGGACTGGGAGCAGTGGAGCAAGAGGAAACTGTGGTTCAGATGTATTGGGAAAAAAAGAAAGAAAAAATAGCTACACTGTCTCATTTCTGTCTCATAACTGTTAGATCTAACACTAGGTATTTGCAAGACGACTGCTTAATAAACAAACATGTAAATTCACAGTAGTTCCCAGAACCATACTGTTAAATATTATGAGTGTATTCTTTGAAGGCATAGTTTATAAACAAGCCGTGTGTTGGACCGTTCACATCAGATGAGGCAAGCCCTGGCTTTGTGAGTCAAATCAGTGTCTCCAGCGGATGACGCACTGCTCTCGAGACCCTCCTTAGAGGCAGCTTGGGGAAGATGCTCAGCCTTTCACAATTCTTCCAACCGGTCCCTGCCTGCTGGAGGAAGTAGCAAGCAGAGAGGAGGCCTCACAGCAGGAGTCTGACTCGGAAACAAGTTGTGGTCTTGTTCAGTGTTTAGATTTCTGCTCCGGAAGGGCACTTCCTCTCGCTTTTGTTAGAACCAAGTATCACATTCTGGTTGGTGAGAATTGTGCTCAGCGAACTGAAGAACTTTTGGGACACACGTCTTGGCTGCAGGCAGGAACGGGGGCGGGGACGGGGGGCTGGGAGGGGGGATACTGTGTTTGCTACATCGCTTTTCTGCCGCGAGAAGCAGTCCTAGTTGGAAAGCCTTTTTGATTTCTATGTGTTATGTTGTACTTGGCAAGACCCTCCAGTTAGGGCTGCCTGGGTGTTGAATAACTTGTTATGTTCTTCAGAAGAGAGTCAAATACTGAAAAGCTTCAAGCCTCTCCTTCTCCATCTCCCTCCTCTACCCCCTCCGCCTCACCGCACTGTGGCTATCTCAAGGCAACAGAAGCAATGGGCTGAGAAATTAACAGAGCACAGGTTTGAAGCAAACAGAACCTTCGTCTGTTTCACTTCTATGACGGTATTCACCAGCAGGCTGTCTTCATCTAGTGTAAAGAAGGAGAAAGTCAGTTCCTAGAAAAATATTGTACATTTCAAAAGAGCATCCGGGATGGGTAATAAAGATGAAGATCAAAGATGAAGTGCATCCTCACATCCCCACACATCAACACGGAGCCAAGAATTCAGGTTACATAGTAAGTTTAAGGCCAATCTGCACTACATAAGACCCTGTCTCAAACAGCTATAAAAACAACAAAAGACTATTAAAGTCACATCTCTTATACAGAGTATTAGGAATCTGGCTTCTGTTTGAAACAATTTTTCTGTGCCTACCACTAACATATCAAAAACAAAC